ATGAGTAATAGTAAATACCCTTAGATATTTTACAGCTCTCTGGGAAGTTATATATTATGTAGAATAAGCTCTCTCGTCTCTTCTCCGCTCTCTCTCTCTCTCTCTTCTCTCTCTCTCTCTCTCGGCTCTCTCTCTCTCTTCTTTCTTCTCTTCTCTCTCTCTCTCCGCGCGCGACTTCTCTCTCGCTTCTCTCTCTTTCTCTGATCTCGGCTCTCTCTCTCTCTCTCGGCCGTCTCTTCTCTCTCTCTTCTCTCTCTCTCTCTCTTCTCGTCCTCTCTCTCTCTCGCTCTTGCTTCGCTCGCGCTTCTTCTCTCTCATTCTCTCGTCGGTCTCTCTCTCTCGCTCTCTTTCTCTCTCTCAGCTCGCTCAGCTCTCTTCTCTCCCGCTTCTCTCTCTCTCTCTCTCGCTGCTCTCTCTTCTCTCCTCTCTCTCTCTCCTCTCTTCGCTCTCTCTCTGCGATCGCTCTCTCTCTCTCTCACTCTCTCGTTGACAGGCTCTGTTCTCTCTCGCATTCTCGTCGTCAGTTCTCTCGTCTCTCTCTCGCATTTATCTCTCGTTCTCTGTTCGCTCTCCTCTCTCTCTCTCTCTCTCTCTCTCGCTCTCTATCTACATCTCGTCTCTCGCTCTCTCTCTCTCTCTCTCTCGTTCTCTCCTCTCATCTCTCTCTCTCTCATTATCTCTCGTCCCGCTCTCTCTCTCTCTACTCTCAGGCATCTCTCTCGCTGTCTCTCTCTCTGCTTTTCTACTATCAAACTCTCTCTCTCTCTCTCTCTCCTCTCTTTGCTCATTCTCTTCTAGTTCTCCCTCTTTCTCTCTCTGTCTCTCTTCTCTCTTTCTCTCGTCTCTGCTCTCTTGATCCTCATCTCGCGTTCTCTCCCTCTTCTTCTCGCTCGCGTCTCTTCTCTATCGCTGTCATTAGATCCCGTCTAGTGCTCTCTCTCCTCTCTCTCTCTTCTCTCTCTCGTCTCTCTCTCTCTCTTCTCTTCTCTCTCTCTCTCTCTCTATCTCGCTCTCCATCTCGCCTACTCTGTCTTCTGCCACGCGCGCTAGCGGCATTATATAACGTATAAATAATATAAAGTTAGAGAATCTCTAGGATAGTATACTATTACTGGCTTTAGAGATCATATAGGTTGCGACAAGGAAGCAGTGTTTGAAGGACTGAAATAAATATCTTCGTTTTTCGGGCTTGTGGTTAATTGGATAACTGGCTAACATAAAATGCGTAGCATTATATAACAGAAAGCAACTAGTCTGTTTTCGCGGAAGACCAGTTGTTATACAATACTCACATAGACGTAGTCGTAACCGCAGTCGTTGACACACAAGCGTACAACACCCACGCCAATAGAGTAACGGCCTATTGTTTGAATTGAGAGCAGATTGGGGGGAGCGTTATTTCAAAATCCTGCCTGCCTGAAATGGGATCGACTGCTGTCATAGGGATTAGCAACTGTGAAACCCTAACTGTAACCGTAACTTTCTAACCCGAACGCTAACCATAATTGTTAATCTCTAACGATACTAACCATTCTATCAAACGCGCTAACGCGTAACATTGTGGTATATGCGTTAACATAACCACAGTTACTAACTCAACATGATGTGTGTAATACCATTGCGAGCCAGTAAGATCCTTGCGCTTGGCTTTAATTAAACGGTATGTGACTATACGTGTGCCGGGTTGACGGAGGCGAGACCGATTACGAGGAAAAACCATGCAACAGCGGGATACAAGTAAAATGTACGCACTACAATCTACAGGAGCAGGGCAGCGGTACGAACGGGTGCTTGCCCCACGCCAGTAAAGTGTGCTAGGCGACCTAGTGAAAGCGGTTAGCTGCTGCAGAAGGCGCCGGCGGCGGTCCGACGGTCCGGGCGGCGCCTGCGCCCGCGCCGCGGCGGCGGGTGCGGGGGCGGCCCGGGGGCGGGGGCAACGGCTATCACGCCAAAATAGGGCTTATAATAATTGAAAGTCTAATGTGATATAGCAATACTAGGCAGATCAGAGCATTACGAAGATAAAGTTACGAAACCTAGGTGTGGCACCTAAATATCAGCGTGTACTAAAAGATAGTTCATGTGTGTAAACAAGATACGAATTTGCACGCAAAATAGTCTGTAAAATTAAAATCTGAATAATCTATAAATACTGCCACCCTGAGGAGTATCAGATATACCGTTGAAATATGTTACAATCATGTACAGGGTAGTTACTGTACACTGTCGTCAGTACGTGCGTGCGTCCCGTGGCGTGCGTCGATCGCGTGCGTGCGGTGCTCCCTTACGTGCGCTGCGACGGAATTGCTGAGGCGATGCGGATCGCCACACAAGCGCCATCAGCCAACAGTATGCGTTCATCTAGCCACCCTGGCCTCTCGCATGAGGCTGCGGAGACGGGCTGGTGCTCGAGGCTGGACACGTGCGGCGTAACCACGTGGCGCACGATGCTTGAGGCGGCTACACGTCGCGTAACGCGTAGCGGACCGATGCTGATGCTGCTACAACGTCGCGTAACACGTGGCCGAGATCGCTGGAGCTGCTACACGTGCGGTAGACCGTGGCACGATGCTGAGGCCGGACACGTGCGTAACCGTGGCAGCGATGCTGAGGGCTGCCGTGGCACGTGCGGCGGTAACGTGGCGACGATGCTGAGGCTGGCCTACAACGGCGGTGACCGGTGGGGACGATCCCTGACAGGCTGCGACACGTCGGTACACGCGTCGGCGACGATGCTGAGGCTGCTACACGTGCGGCGTACCGTGGCGACGATGCTGAGGGCTGCTACACGTGCGGGGTAACCGTAGTGGGGAAACGATGCTAGCGCCTGCTACACGTGCGGTAACGTTGGCGACCGATTGCTGGAGGCTATACCAACGGTGCGTACAGCGTTGGCGACGAGGGCGAGAAGATGTCAGGATGCCATGACAACCGTTTGTAGTGGACCGTATGAGCAGAGAGGATGTCAATGAAGCTGACAGCCATGCCAGTAACATGCGATACGCAGAGAGGCTGCAAAGGCTTGCCCACGCGTGCAGTAACATGGTCCACAGCGGCTCTTAATTCTTCGTCCTGCCGTAAGAAATGAAGCCTGAAAACATGGAACTACTATTTAAGATACCTGCGTTATATAATCATTCAACTTGTTAAATTGGTGTGATCTGTCATGAAACCTAGGTTGGGGAATTTCAAATTAAGCTGATCTAATAACCAGGATTATGTTTTGTCGTCGTTGGTCAGGCCAAGGAGAAAACTAGGCGTCTGTTTATCGTAGTGGGCGACGCCGGCTGAGGCCCGGCGGGGAAACCGGTATGAAGTTGAGTGGCGCACAGCCAACAAATATGGTGTTTCTAATCACTGTGTTAATGTGTGAATCTATCATTAATCTAGTGCAGGAATTTTAATGTAGAACTGGATTATGTTCGTGCGAGCCTTCGTCTTGGTCAGATCATTGGAAAGCGTGAGTGTCTAAAATGTATATTATAATACCTGTTAATGTATAACGTGTAAACATGGTGGAATTTAATCTAATTACGTTAAGTTTCATGATTTTTAGCTCCATTGACATCGTCAAGACCTGAGCTATTGCTATGAGTCGTCGTCCGGTACGTCGTCCGTCCGTCCGTCCGTCCGTCCGTCCGTCAACATTGCGTAGCGCGGTCAACGATAACTCAGGAACCGTTTGCCCACATGGTGAAATTGGGTATCATTGGTTACTGCTATATGGGCTCCATATTAAACGTGAACTTTTTGAAGCACGCCAGTCGACGTACTTTCGACGCCACTGGGCAATTTTGGCAAAAATGGAATTGCATTTAGTCAGTTCAGTTAAGACGTTATTGCTCATTTTTGGTATTGTGAATAAAATAAGGGCTAGGTGATTGTATGTACAATTTGTTATGCAAATTAGTTGTAGGGTTGGCACATTTAGTATAGCGATATTATAAGACACAAAACAGTCTGTGGGGTCACACTCGTCTGGGTTCGTTTACAAGAATTCATTACCATAGTCTGGTATAAAATAATAATATATTAAGATAGTATATCTATATATATGTTATATATATATATATGATATATATATATATATAATATAATATATAGCAAGCCTATAATAGTATATGTTATATATATTAAATGCAAAATTGGTATTCCTCTCGTACCGTGCGCGATAAAACGTCTATATGGAGTAAAGTTATTACAAAACTGTCACGGAAACGCAGCTATAGCACCAATTTATTCAAATGCCATCGCTACTCAAAGCGTGGTATAGGCGCATCTACAGGTCACAAATTGAGATTTCATTTGTATTAAAGTATTATTTGCGATATACGATGGCATCGTTTCTATTAATGTACGTCCGGATTGGTTGCGCGATTAAAACTGACTCTCTGACCTCACTCATTTGTGTCTTTTTTGTTCGGTTGAAGCTACAGTGTCATTGACACTTTCATTATACTTGTTACCTACACGATTATTTACTCTATTTGCCTGTAGAAAAAAAAGTTGTTGGACAATTAAGCTTTTTGATCAATTAAAATCATGTTTTCTTGTTTGTGTATATAGCGCAATGACGACAAGCTACATCAAACGCATAGTTTGGTATTGACGATTTAGCCGCAATTTTTTTCAAGTATACTCCTATACTATTCTAGATAATTGTCACTATAATCAAGGTAATTACATTATAATGAATCTTTCTCTGTGGAACTTTTACCTGTCATAAACGACACATTTATACACATATAAAAACAATACAGATTGACCTCTATCTTGTTAAACTTATATGTATATAGATATATATAGATATATATCGGGTTAATAATGACAAATTTTTTATAATTAATATTGATTATGACAAATTAATATTTGTCAATATTAACCCCTGATGATATCAGGAGTGTCATAATAATCATAGACTCTATATAGTCATATAGACCTAGTATATCTCTATATAGTAGTACCCCTATATAATCAGGAGTCTATCAATATACTGAAACACTTAATTTTTTCCTCATGGTATATGCTTGTGACCGTTTGTCTTTGTGTGGGAAAATCTTTTGTGTGAAACTTTGTGTAGAAATGTGTGATTGTTTTCTTGAATTTGTGCTAACGGTACGTTTACGCTATATTGTCAATTAGAGTTTGATAGGCCTAAAACATTTCATCGAAAATGTAAAATCATTTTGCGTATTTTTTGGCTGTATGATGTGTAGAAGTGACAAAGGTTGTCAGGTCCACATCGGTGCTGTGTGTAATAATGGGATTAAGAGGTTAAATGAGGATGTAATGGAGCACATGGCTAAACGTGGTTTCGGTAATGCGTGTCGGTATACGCATACGCCACGTACGTTACAGCATAAAAAGACTCAATAATGAGAGTAATTGCATCGATATTAAAATGTTCACTGCCAAATGTGTTGAATTTCTGACTTGTATGGTGATCGAACTTTATCGTTACTTGTTTTGTATAGAAAGCTTTATGCTTCATATGTATTTTTTTATTGTATTTTGTTTGTGTATTGATTGTGGGTTGTTTAATTGGGCATAAATACGTTTCTCTCGTTGGGGTTGAGTTAGAAAAGTATTAGGGTAGTAGTTATTTTTTTAGGAATTGTTTAGGTTTAGGTTGAAGTGTAGATCAGCGGGGACGCTGAATCGATGACAGGGTAGTCATCGTCTTGGGAAAGTGGGAGATAATGTAACATATGTTTTACAAATGTTACATAAGTTAGTTAGAGACGCGGAGTGCGGCTAGACTCAGGGTTGTTTTAGTGGTAGTCTATGTAGACAGAGCGTCGTGCATATTGTGCGGCTAGATTGATGGTATAGGATTGATGGTATAGGCGCAGAGAAGGTAAGACGTGTTTTAATGGTCGGGCGTTTCATAGGGCATTTGAAATGCGGAAGGGTAGGGCGCGGTCTGGCGGAGAACGGGTGACATGTGCGCTCAGGATGTCGGTGTTTTTGGGGGCACGGTAATAGGTTGGAGAGAGCGTGGAGAGACAGAGATGATAGAAGTTCAGACGAGTTCGAGAGTTTGGTGGTGGTGCGGGAGATAAGCAACGAGCTTAGGCGCGAGCGGTGCGCGTTTCTTTGTCTCTTTGTTGCTAAGATGTGGACTTACCCTGTTCAAGGTTAGTGTTCCATTAGTCGTTGTTCAATTGGTTCATTGTTCATGGTCATTTCTTCATTGTTGTTATTGGCACCAGAATGTTGGACTACGCTGTGGTGCCAGTTAGTAAAGTTTATTCAATGTAAATACACAAGTTGTGGAATTTCCTTCTATATCATTTATTCAGACAAACCATCACTTCAACGTTACACTGGAATAGAAGGGTTTGGATTCTGCCAGTGTGCAGAATAAAGTCTCAGATATTGCTGTGCAAGCTAATGCTTCGGTTACTGATGTTTAATTTATTTACTAATCTTTACGATCGTCCGTCCAGCAATACAAATGTTCTTCAGCAATACGGATATTCATTATATTCCTTCCTTGCTGCATACCTACATTGAATTGACGTTGGATCAACGGCTTGGTAATCATGAGCAGCTAAACGTATACATAGTCGTTTGGCTTACGCTACGTTGTGTTTCCTTTGGGTTAACTCATTGAATCTAGATCGTTTTCTCTTAGTGCATCACTGTACAAAGGATGATGTTGTATGAGTAGTACTACGTTTCGCGCGTATTGATAATTGTTGTTGCCCTATAACAATCTTCATCCGCTACGTGTATGATGGAGTAACATTTATTATTAGTTACTCCACGCCCAATAAGATGATTTTCAGGCATAACCAATCATTGCTAGCATAACCTTGGAAGCCACAATTTTCCGGCGTACACTCTCATGACGAACGGTACGTTAAAAGGGAGCTGCTCATGAAGCCACGTCGGAGTTCGGACGTGAAGCTTTTGCCAAAGTTTCAAGTTCGACATACCGCTCAGCTGATCGTCTCCGTGCGTGGTGATAGCAAGATGGAACGGTGCGTAGGCCTACTGTATTTTGCCAAGTTGTGAGATGAAACTCACATTTAACTAGAGATTTGCCCAATATAGATGTGTGTGGTAAAAATGCATTATATACTAATGTAGAACAAATACATGATATTTGTCAATTTTGTTGTTAGCTTACTTAGTCTTGATAAATAGAAAAATGCTTGGTTAAATTAGATATCCTGTGCTTTTAGCATAAGGAATACATGGTTTAGTAAAGGACCTATGGAATGATTTCAGTACTAAATTATGCCAATAAGACGTAAAGGCATGTGTGCGCGATGAACAAGCTTTCGAGTTTTACATAGTAAGCTATTGTGGTAACGAGTGGAGCAATTAAGACATTCTAAACTATTTTAAGATATCCATTTATTGAAAAGGTTTCCTTAAATTTTTTTTATCTGACCAAGCAGTGATCTGTTATTTGTCATCTATTGACATCTGACAGTTCATCACCATTTTCTATTTCATCATTCATACACACTGCAGTTAACATCTACATTCGTCATTAGTATACTTATTAAGTGATGACGTCTGATGAAATTTGCTGCAATCTTCATTGAGTAAAACGCAGCAGGCACTATGAAGGATAGTGCCGCCAGAGCGGGCCACTATCGCTTGCGCACGCGATTGTTATATAACGGCATTGCTCGTTTACCGTCGAATCTCTCGTCCGGGCGCCACACAAGAGTAAATTGTCTCGAAACGGGGTTGTGTTTGTGTCGAACGTGTTGTTACAGCGAATGACCGCCAAGATTAGGAGGTATGTATAAAGGAAGGTATATACGCATGAAAAGTAGAATGCATTAGTCACGTGTGATGCACCTAAAAACATTAATGCTGCTGTGGCGGCGAGCTATGCCTCATATTGTGCTCGCCAACAGAGCCTTAATATATAAATAAAGCCAACGAAACATTCAATATAATTACAATATTAATTTATTGGACATAAAGCATACATTGTTTGAATGGATACCATTCAGTGGAGTGTGGTATTCTGATTAGCAATTATATGGTCCAGTACTATGGCCAGCTAGAGAATGGCCATTTAGACGATGAAACAGGTGTGGCACGCATATATTTTGTATTATTAATATCAAATGGTACTTAATGAAGGTTGTACATAGGATGATATGCAATAAGAAATATAAGAAATTATGTACAATGTTTATTCCGTGGTGTTCTAAAATTGGAAACGCGATTTATTTCATTGCTAGTTTTCTTTAAACTTGCCTACATTATAAAGTATCACATTCTGCCAGGTGGCATACGAGTATACAGAGTAAGATAATATAGAGGGAGGAAGAAAAAAAAAAAAAAAGAAAAAAAAAAAAAAAAACTGGAATGGACTGGCAAAACATGTTTGAAATTCACCATTGCTTGCCTAATTTTTTTTTTGTTGTTGTACGATGAGTGATATACGTGCAATCTCGAGTAAAATTACATCTAATGAGCGTTAGGGACAGTCCGCTCTCTAACTAAACTGTTACTTGGTTTAGATACTCTGCCTTTACGGAGATAATAGCTTTGAGCAACGTCCACACATGGTTCATAGTGTTTAACTAAGCTGGCGGCTCAGATTGCCCAGGACCATCCAACTAGCTTCGAACAGGTGCCTGATAGGAATTTGGTCTTGCTCTGGTTGACAAGATGGGCACCTGTTGGCGGCAGGAGTAAGATATATAGACTTCTATATTATTTCTATATCTAGTATCAAACAGCGTATATAGTTTATCCATATAATATAATATATGCACGTAAGTATATATATACACACATGATATGAACACACATATATATATACACACACGTATACATATTATCTGTTATATTATTATAATGGTCAACTATATTTATCGTGCTTACTCGCCCGCCAGCAGGGCATTCTTGTCAACAGACGAAGACGATTCCGTCAGCGAGGCTAGCCACTGGTCGGCAAGCTAGGTTCGCGTGAAGTGCGGGCATGCGTCACTGAGCCCACCAGCGTAGTTAAAACACGAGAACCATGTGTGACGCTTCAAAGGCGGTAGATCTCGGCGTAAAGGCAAGAGCGATATTGTAAGACAAAGGAAGAGTGTTAGTTAGAGGCACTGGATGTCAACGCTACATTTAGATGTAATTTCTGATCGAAGTTGCACGTAATATAAATCATCGGTAAAATTAGGGCAAAGGCAATGTTGAAAATTCACATGTTTTGGACAGTCAATACTCCTCTATTATTAGTCTTACTCCTGGAGCTATACACGTACAACAATTTCCGCATTTGAGGCTTTGAATGTGCCTGTAACATGATGTTTTAGAGCGTTGAACAGTTCCTCCTTGTCATAGTTAGCATGTAGTTGATGTGCAATTAAACATACACATTATATCGGATCATATAGAATAATATGCGATTAAAATAAATCATAATGCTTTGAAAGTGTATATACATAATACGATGTAGGCCTGATGTGCGAGGGGTGCATTTCTTTGTATTAGAAATTAAAAATCCGGAGCCAAAAAGAGTCCATAAATAATGATAGGAGCCGGGAGGAGACTAAAATAACTAAGTGCAGTTAACTGATCTGACGTGGAGGAAGAACAACACTGCATGATGCGTAACTAAAATATCCCACAATGGACACAATGAATTATCTTACACACACGTAAAAATCCCAAACAAAAAAGCACAGGCAGATAGTCGGATCGGTTTCAGTTACAGAAAGACAAACACACGCACATCGTTTCACTTTAGCATTTACGCTTTGTATAACATCTCAGTGCTATTATGCAGTATACGGCATGAGAGCGGCGTACAGGGCGAAGCGCGATCCAACTTTTCAGCGATGTACAAGATGACCTATGACCCGATGACGCCATATGGGCTCCACGTGGCCGCACCGACGCGTAACTACGAAGTGCGACTTATTCATGGACAGGCCTCAGCTGCCTCACAGTTGTCGGCTGTGGTATGTACGTGGCTCCACGGTACGCTCCTGTTCAATTAACATTGTGACAGACTCACAGATTTCATAGCTTTTAGTCTTTACACTGACTAAACGGATATGTTCTTCTTTTAAAATTATCGCTCTACTGCTGCTTAATAAAAGTACGCACTTTTTTTTTATTTTTTATTATCTACGGTGTGTGTGCTGA